GGGGGTTGAGGGCGCGGCAGGGGTTATTTAACGTCTTTTTATTTTTGCCATGCGAAAAATTTGGAACTCCATACAAGCCATTTATTTGCTTTTGTTGAAAAACCGCACTCAGTGTTGAAATATATCCATTTAATCTTATGCTAAAAGAAGAAAGTAATGTTTTTGCAACAATATTGAGATTTAGATGTTTCAGCTCTTGACGCACGCTGTACGCACCACAATTGACCTCGCGACCTGGTCATAGCTCTAGTAGAGGTTCCTCCTTTCATCAAATTCTTTATTATTTGAAGCCCAAATTAAACGTAATGTCAAGTGGAACTTATGGCATCAATAATCAAACAGAGAATTAACTCTGAACTGAAATAATAAAAGTTTTTGAAACATAACCAATGAAATCATCACTAAACAATTCCGGTGGGAATCGAAACAGCGTACAATGTCTCAAAAGTGTTCCTTTACAGTAGCATTGCTTAAAGCAGATTAAAAAGAATCAACTTATTAAAAGATTTAGCTATAAAAAAATGCGTTAAAACTATTCTTAGAAACATTTTAAGAACTGCAAGTGCAAAGAACCACGGTAGCTAAATTTTCTTTCCAGCATTGATTGATTTAACCTGTCTTTCAAACTATGAAAGCTCCCATGCTGTCCCAAGTTCTCTGATCTACAACGAGGCCCAACAGAACCCGGGTTTGAGTCATATTAATATGGGAAGGGTACACCAAAGGTTGTACTTCGTAGCACAGCTGCCTATGTACTTATACAACTTTTCAGAAAACTTCATCAATATGTAAACTGAAGAACTCTTAATAAATCATTTGCTTTTGTTGTAGAAACTTTATTCTCCAGCTTAAGTTGTAATATTACGTTTAGTTTGTCTTGTATAAATTATTGCTACCCTCGAACAGTCACGTTGGGTAGCAAAAGTGCGGTGGAAATACGTGAATGAATGCCTGCCTTGAACAAAGAAAACTTGATTACTACTTCAATCAAATAACAAGTATTTATAATTTCGTAAAACAAAATCACTAATAATCCTCCTTCGTGTCAATTCATGGTTTTCGTGGTAAAAATCGTCGCACTTTTGGAACAATACGCGCTAAAGGAAGTGCTTATTCTCGTTGAGAGCCTGGATGTCACGTTAAGAACCAGGAATATGAAACAGGCCAGCAGATGGTATAAAAATGGCTGATTTGCACTATCTTGCAATCAATTTTAAATTTGAAAGTCTGTGCATCAAGAGCAAGAAGAAAACAAGAGTTGTTTTCACAACAGGGATTCTACAATGGTTAGTTACTGTATATTGTGCATACCATCTTATAAAAATGAGCTACTTACTAGTATTGGTGGTACCATGTTATCAATTTAAACTGGGATGAAGGATTTGCAACATTAATCGATCTTATTATTTTGTTTTTCGTTTTCTTTCACCAGGAGTTCAAAGTTTTGATCCTTTCCTTTGCTGTCTTTGTTGTCGTCGCTTCAGGAGCGACAGTTTATAAAAGTGGAGAAGATGAGAAAAAGGTAAGGTGACAAGCCGATACATTTTGATGTACGTATTACTTTTCGAATTTCATTCCCGTGATGGTGTATCGGCGTTCAAAACCAATGATATTCTACAGCAGGCTAAGTTTTCTGCATTAGTCACTTGAAAAGCAAGGGAGTTACTTGTGCTAATTTCAAAATGCTGTTAAGAGAAATCGAGCATCTTAATTTTCCCTCTAGAGAATCGACACTCCTCCACGTCACGAATCCTAGTCAACCTCGTCCCCAGGGCTTTTCCCTTCCCATCCATTTTTTAAGGGAAAAGCCCTGGGGACGAGGTTGGAATCCTAGTCAGCATTATTAACCGGTGGGTGACAAAAATCTTAAGCTTCGGAATGGCTATTTCGAAAATAATAGCCGCTTAAAAATCCTATGATAGTCTCTGTTGTTCTAAACAAGGCGCCGGATTTCTAACGAGTTCGATTTCTTCATCAGTGAAGATACATTTCAAAGTTAACTGTGATGTTCTCGTTTGCAATTATTTGAAATTCTTTATTTTAAAATTCTTGCAAGGCCTCGTAGCGTTCCAAATAGGTGGAATGGTTAACACTCAGTGATTATGATTGCTTACTTTTTTTACCTTGAACGATAAGGTTTCGGAGTACAAAGTTAAAGTCAAGGATGGAGACAAAGATCTAGACGAAACTATTAAAATTGACACCAAAAAGGAAACAGAAACCTTTCACATCGCAAGTAATGGCGACACCAGCCCCGATGCCCCTGGAGAGGTCGATGTTGTTTACGATTTCAAACAGGTGAGTTTGTAGGTCAGAAATTGAAATATGGCATATTCCCTTCCTTTTCCTTTTTTTACATTCTCTCTTTCCTTTACTTTCGTCCTTCCTACCTTCCTTCTTTTCTTTATTCTTTATTCTGCGTCGTCTTTTCAGAATGGCCTACTTTTACTGCTCTCTTTCTCTCTGATTTCGCGCATTTAAGCCTTGTTTATTGACAATGCACCCCTTGCGCGTGTAATAATATTTTTTAAATGGTTGCTGCCAAGTAAATATGTGACTGTTTTCCTTTTGTCTTTTGGTGTAGAACATGGCAATGCACCGAATGTCCAATCAGAAAGCTTGTTTTCTGAGCGACTCTACTGACAATCTACCAAAACCAGCTGACCTTAAGAAATTACTTGAAACGGTAAGTACATTCTCAGAAGTTGTTTGTTTAGTACCTCTGAAGCTGATGACATTCACGTAATAGAAGAGAAATAGAACACTTGCTGGGCTCTAGGGTTTTTCGGATTCATTAGTATTGATCAATACTACCAGTTTTACCATTGTTTCTTACATATTTCTCCCCCCCCCCCCTCCTTGAATGAATGAATGAATGAATGAATGAACTTTATTCACTGCAAATAAAGTTAATTCATTCATTCATGCAATTCTACATCTAACGATATTGGGACAGCTTATTAGATTTTAATCACATCGAAGGTCCTCTTTTTTGTTTATTTTGCATTTCCGAGGGCTAATTTATTTGTGTATAGTATTTCAGCCGTTTGCAGCATTCGGTACTGTTTTGTAAGATTTTTCACAAAAGTGCAAAACCTGACATTATAGCTTTAAAAAATACTTTTAAATGTTAGGGGTGATGAATGGTCCATTAAAATTTTTAACTGCTCGCAAAATTTTCCCTTTGCTCGATTTGCTCGCAAAATTTAAACGAGTGATCGCTTGCTCGTGCTCCCAAAATTTTTGCAATTGCTCGCAAGCTCGCTTTCTTGTCAGTATTGCTCGAAATTTTGTAAATCCTTCCTTGGGTTAAAGTAAATGTAATTCTGTATGGTGCTTAATTCCTATTCCTATAATATGGCTATCAAGTTCACTGGAAATGCACGCGATTAATGACAACGATAAATAATAAATTAGCTAATTTAGCTTATATGGTTATATTTGGTTGTTACATATGGTTGTTCTTCTTGTGACCTTCGCTTTCTGATCCGTACGAACACATGCGTGATGAAGTGAAGCGAAAATGTAACGTCATTTGGCATCAAACGCGACTGTAATTGGTTAGATCTCGATAAGGTGTCACTCAAACTTCCTTCAACGAACTTGGTGCGCTCTAAATTACAACCCCGTTTTAAAATATTTTCTGTTTTATTTTAAAGAAAAGGATTTCCATAGCTGAAAATATAAGAAGTGCTTGCCGCGCTACTCCCGAGTTGTACCCTCTAAACTACTCGCTGCTCGCAAAGCTAATTTCGTATCTCTGCTCGTGCTCGCAAAAATATCGCAGTGCTCGCATGCTCGCGAATGCTCGCAAAGACCATTCGTCACCCCTAATGTTGAGCAAGATCTAACTTTTAGGTTTTGGCATCGTTCATTTGGAGATTTATTTGTGCAGTGTGATTAACACTAAAGGTTAAGTAAAGGGAAAAAGTTGGTAACGTGCTACAAAACTACGCAACCCTTATTAGGGGGGCGACCATTTAACTTTTGAGAGGAGTGGGTGGGAAAGGGTGATTTCAAAAAAATATATATCTTGCAGACTGATTTGGAGAGGAAAAAATTCTTGCAAGGAAATACCTTGCTAATAAAAACTCCTACGCTGGAAAAAATATCTTTTATGGCGTATAATGTTGGGAAAAAAAATCTTAATCCATTGTGTGTCAGGAAAAAAATCTATCACTAGAAATTTGGGAAAAAACAAATTCTTACACAAACCAAATTACCCATAGCCACCCCTCCCCCCACCCACTCAAAAGTCAAATGGTCGGCCCCTTATTAGGAATAGACAAGGAGCCTTTGAAGAAAAGGGTTTCTTTTGGAGAATGAACCCATACTCCCATATGAAGAATTCATCATTAATCGCGATCAGAGATTTGTCTCATACATTTTGGCGTTGACGGTAGAAAATCCGTAGCGACTCGTAAAGAATTTTGCTTTCTTCCCTTCAGCAATCAAACCAGGATAGCAGCCAGGCAGAGACACAAGGGGAGACTGAATATGCCGTTGTTGGTACTGTCAATGACCGCTCGTTCCTGAGTGATGAAATGGCCGCCATGTGTGCTAAGTTGCCCATTTATCGCATCAAGCAGAGAAACCTCCCAGTTCAGCGTAAGTTAAATAATGCTTCAATAAAAAAGATACATGTGGATAAAATTTTTAAGTCTGTCTTACAAAAATTAACAGCAGTAGCAGTGGGAAAAACAAAAACAAAAGCTACCAGCTAAAACGACCAGCTACTACCATAAACAAGGCTCAGTCACTTTTTTTGAGTCGTTTTTAGTTCCCGCGCAGTTAACTGGGTTAAAGCCTGTGCGACTATCAGTATCACGGTCTAAACTAACATAATTTTTTTCGTTATTTTGCAGGAACAAAACGTGCCTGGTGTTTCCGAATTTGCTATAGGAGATGCTGGGGCAGCTTTTGTGGGCATGTTTGTGTGGTGCGTTGTACTTAAGGCTAATAAACAGCCTTTAAGCATGTTAGTGGCTAAGATATTCATAGTGATTAGATAAATATTATCCAACAAAACCTTCAATCAGCTCGACATTTAGGATAACGGTATTGATTTTAGAGCTGGAAAACTGGAGCAAAAAGGAAAAAGAATATTAGAAATGCACGCTACCTATTTTTTGTTTGTAAGCTTTTCGTTACAAATTTTGTCGGACAGGTGGACACGAAGTTGAAGAGCGCGTTAACAGATCAGAGAGCCGTTTATGGAAATTGATCGCGTAAATCTTTTTTTCTTTGCCGTTTTGCTTTCTCTTTGTTATACAGTAATGGCAAAGGTGAAGGTTGGTAAACGCAAGGCGAAAAAACTGCTAACAATGTAACAATCTAAAACGGCAAAATTATATTGATGAAGATAAGTGCTCAGAAAGCTAGGCGGTTTGCCATAGTGCTGATATCGTACAGAAAGTAGACAACTTGATTTTAGCGTTCTATCGACGTTGTGTTTCCATATAAAACATCGAACATGAAATCTAATTGAATCAGTTTTTCTTTTATGATGCATAAATTTTAGTTAACCTTTTTAAACTGATGAACCACAAAAAAGCAGGAAAAAAATAGTAAATAAAGCCACTTAGAAGTTATAAACACCGCTTTTGGCTTCATTGTAACTTATCGTCTATTAAAGGGTTCCATATCAACCACCTCTTCATTTCGTTTCAAACTCTAATTTGATGCGTATGAGGAGGTAGCACCTGGTACCGGGCGGGGGAAAGCCGCAATTTTGATCTTTATTTTTTTGTGCGAGTAGAAGAATACATCTACTTGATTTTCTGATGATAAAGCGTTTTCACATGACGTCACGGCTGCCATATTGGTGTTCCAAAGCTATGAAACGGCGGCCATGTTGGTATTCCAAACCAATTCTCCTGTAGTTAAAGAAGATCCTTTACGGTATTGCGGTACCGTTCATTTGGCCTCTCCTGTCTGATGTAGGTCAATATTTGGAAGACTTTAAATGATTACACAATTTCTGACAGTTACTCTATGACAAAATTGTAGGACATCCAATGACCGGGCTTTTCGATCGCTGTACCTATCAGTTCGAGGTCTTCTCACGTTTTCTCGCGATAGCTGAGGTTGATTTCTAATGTATACATGCTTGAGATAAACAAACACGCGAGATGGATACAACTTTAAGTAAGCGTGACCTATCATAAATGCAGTATCGGTTTTTCGTCGATTTTCGGTACGGTGTTGCGTAGCCTGCGAAAACAGCCGTTTCTCCTCGCTCTTCTACGCTGGGGACGTTTCGCGAAACGTCCTTAGCGTCAAGGAGCGAGGGGAAACGGCTGTTTTCGCAGGCTAGGTATTGCGGTATTTGCCAATTTTTCTTACGGTACTGCTGTGTTGGGAAACGCCCCTAATGTCCCTCTGCTAACCTGACAGTAAAACCTTGGGCTTAAAAAAAGATTAAACTTGCGAGTGGTGTTACCTATACGAATACTGCATAGTGGGCATCAAATTAATTTTACGGCTAGTCTTTCAACATTATTTAATTAAATAGCTTTCATCCGTTTTCGAAAGAATCATACTTCTGTTACTGTATAAAACAAGGATTGTTCTGAAGATAACCATGCCCCGAAGATTTTCAGGGTCGATATCAACTTAGAGTGTTATTTAATTCCTTCCACCACTCCGAGATAAGCCTTCATTCTGCTCTCAGTTCTGATAATAAAGTAAATGGAATGCGTGTTCTTGAATCTTATCATGCGTACTTCCTGTCTGCTCAAGCAAACAACGTCTTACCGAATTAAATTATGCTGGAAGGCGACACGCGAAATAGAATATAATCAACTTTGTTATTGGGACGCTGCTGAAGGCCTGATAAACTTAACAGGTAACATTAGCCTGAGTATCAGGCCTTCTGTGAAGGGGCCAAGGGAGAGGGTATTTTTATCCTCTACTTTTTTCTCTTCTCTCTTCCTCCTTTCGCTTAGAAACGCCTGATACTCAGCCTAAGGTGACACTGCTGCAAGAGATCATGGAACTTCTTCGAAGATGGGATCGGACGAAGGAGAGGGTAGGGGGCGAGTTGAACGGGACATGCCGAACTTTTACGGATTACTTTTTTCCATTCGCAAGACAATTAAGGGGCTGTGAGGATGCTCAAAGTTTTTTGGTGAACTGATAAAACTATCGTTCAATAATTCCTTGCACCAGACCAGGTATTTACGCAGTAACAGCCGCACAAATTCTGCTCACTAAGTTTACAGATGCGTGCTCTGTTATTCGGTGTACTAAATATTGCCATCAATATTCTAACTTCCAAGGGTGACTACTTTCGGAAGTTGCTGTGTGATCGACTTGTCCACAAGTCGAGCTACGAAGTAGCTACGAGTACAAAGCACGAGCTAGAAATTTTTTATGTTCTTGATCCTAGTGCCCATTGACCACATGCCAGCCGAAATGAATTTGATCTTTGACTTAAGCACTGATACAGTGGAACCTCTATATGACAAAGTCTTGGGTGTAACAAACGGTTTTCTTTTGCCCCAGTATAGCAAAATTTATTGAAAGAGCCTCAATGTAACGAAACTTCGTCAGTTACAACGAACAGATTTTACCAGTCCCTTTTTCCTTCATTATTTCGCGGTTCCACTGTAATTACTGAAAATATAAGACGTGTCTAGTATGAACTAGTCTGTAATAAAATGAATAGCAAAGTTCCAGGCGCTCAGATGAGGAGAGGCGCGAAGTTAAAAGGAGAGCAAAAAATCCCTTTTTTGAGCCTTGTTTTTTTGCTCGCTCTATTTGTCCCCCGCGGTCAACCTTTTGAACGCCTGTAACGGGCTCCAAAACGCTTTTCTTATAACAAATTTCCTCTCTCTCAGTCCTCTCCGAGTAGAGACTGTTAGGGGGAGAGGAGTGCAATGAGCTGCTCATTTCCCGAGAGTGCTACCCTGGCTCCAGAGATCCATTCTCAAAATACCTGGGATAAAATATTAAACCGTACTTGCAGTGGGAGCTGTAGATAAGAAAAAGATAACCTCTGGAACCCAGGGTAGAACATTGCCAGCTGGTTATCAAAGTCTTGTTTGTAATTTCATTTATTTGTCATAGCATTAGGTTTCATTTAGTTCTGTTTTTTCTGCAGTTAAGTTCAGATAGAAGTACAGTTTGTGGTATTCATGTAGATATTTTACCCCCCGACCTCCCCTCCCCCCCCTTGCACCCGTCTCTATCAGGACTTCTAGTGAGGTGGCAGGGAGATGAATTTTGCTTCCTGTTTCTATCTTTACCTTTATTTCTTGTTGATTTTTGGAAATAAATTTCTATCGCGCCGTGCCCCCGTGACTGTGTCGTTGTTGTATTGGCTGGGGAATAAAGTGTCCCCTACTTCAGGGAAACAATTTTCCTTCTGCGACGCGACTGAACATGATGCGAGAGGAGCTTAGATCTTTACCATCGAAGTAGACGAACATGGCAGCTCAAAAGCAGCATATGCCCTCCTTTGTAAGCATTCTTTGTGTTGGCTCTTTTGTGTTTTACTGTGCCGGGTTTTTGAGAGTTGAACTGGAGTTACATGAGCAGAAGAAGAGGATTAACGCTCTTGAAAACAACGCAGCGTCAAAGCTGCAGCCATCAATGGAACCAAACCCTGTGAAGACGCAGCATTCGCTTTCTGGTAAGTTGTTCCGTTTTCGGGATTTTATGTTTAACGTAAGGCAAAAAAGTACACAGATCTAGGATTATCATGTAAGGGTTGTAATGTGAATGCTTTATGTTCAAGTTAAGTAAAAACTGCTACCTCGATTTCCCATCTTTTAGTTAGTCGAAGTTTTTGCCTTTTTAAGAGCTATCAGTACTAGTTCAAAACATCGTCGAACGTACCTAGGCATTAACCGGCACCAACTTTGCTTTCAGATCGCCAATTCTTAAGATGAGTTAAAAACCCTTAGTGCTCACTGCGCTGACTCGTCCCCAGTCGTCTCCAAGTTATCTTTACTCATTTTAAAGCTGGCCGTTCGTGCCCATTCCCTCTGGACAGGCCTGTGTCCAGAAAAGCTGGTAAAACTGAAAAAAACTAAAACTAAAACTTCCCTAGTAAATAATTAGTTTTAGTTTTATTTAGTTTTACCAGCTTTTCTGGACACAGGCCTACCCAGAGGGAATAAGTGCGAATGGCCATCTTGAAAGTCAGATTTTTCCCAGCTCCGGTTACAGCAGATCCAAAATAATAAGCTTTAAACTTCAGTGGCAATTTAATCTGTTTAATTTTTTTGTATTGCAAATCAACGGCCTTTGGTTATTGAACACGGATTGAATATTCAATTTGAATAACAAGACTTCCTTGCATGACTGCATACCCGCATTACTTGTGTCACGCATTACTGTTTCAATGTATCTTTGCCGGCGAGTATAATACGCCCGTCTCTCATCGCTTCTTACCATTCGCAGGCTAATTGTATCTAAGCAACTGCGAATAAAATCGTTAAATTAAACAATTATATGAGCCTTGTTTACTCTGTCGTTCAATCCAGTTTTCATGGTCTTCATGATCCGCAGTGATATCTTTTGTTAACACTAACTGAACGGCATTCATCATTCATATCAAGGTGGTTTTGCTCGCATTTCCTAGCCAACGGCTACAGCTAGATTAACTAATTGCCTCTATTCCGGTCCGTTAAATAACACAGATTTCTCGTATCATTGAGTATCTACATAGACGTCTTTGCAGCTTTGTGCATGTGTTGTTGTGAAGTTTCTTTTTTCTTTTTGTTTGTTTGTTTTTTTTTTTACGGTGGAGCCACCGTAGTTTTTACAGAAGGATGAGGTACTTCGCATCAAAGGTATATGTAAAGCAGGTCTCATAATGAGCTTCGGGTTTTCTCACAGCATAACACGATTTTGTCAAACTCAAGAACTTAACCTTTGCAACTACTCCTTGTTATTTTGTAACTACCTTTTATTGGGCCGGAGTTTTCAGTGTTATTGACGGACCCGAACAAGAGGATTCGGTGAACTTTAGTTCCATGAACTGAAATAAGTCTTAAGTTGCCAACTAAGGAATCGAATCTTTTAAAAAATCTTAACGTAGAACCCCAGAAAAGGTTGATTTTCAAAAGTAGTCTATTATATTTGAAATGTCATCATAAGCAACAAATTTAATTAACTAACTAATTAATGGTATCATAGAGACATCATTTAATTAAGCTGATTCCAATTGCGGAGCTGTTATCACTCGTTTTAGGCACCGTCTACTGATAATTAGTTATCACAGTTAGATATTTGGTGGAGAAACATTAATTAATTCATTTCTAGCCCGCCCCTTAATGATGTCAAGGAAGATATTTGATAGTATTCATCTACTCAAGGCTTAGTTGCGTGTATACGCGTTCTTTGAGCTTTGAATTTATGTTTCGCGGTTCTTTCACTTAAATCATTTGTCTGATTATTTACCCCGTAACGCCGTCAATCGTCATACTGGTAGTAACCAGCTCCCACTCGATGAATTGTAAAGTTTATACTGTACAGTCTTCTTTTTACTATGAGGCTTGCACATGACAATAAATGCTGTTTCTCTTCTTTTTAGAGCTTGAGTCCCTTGAGCTGCACAGAAACAAACGTCAGGTTGATAAAGTGAATGCGACGCTTAAAATAAACAAACTTATGTCAGAGTTAAAACCGCACATCTGTCAGTCAAAGGTTGTCATGTGTTCACCAGGCCCTCCAGGTCCACCCGGACCGAGAGGAGAGAAAGGAACCCGGGGACGAAGAGGACAGAGAGGGAAACAAGGAAACAAAGGAGATCAAGGGATTATGGGATCACCAGGAAAAAGTGGCAAGCAAGGCATCATGGGACCTATTGGACCATCCGGCGTAACAGGTCCGAAAGGACAAAAAGGAGACATTGGGCCTGCAGGCATGCCGGGATCTAAAGGAGAGCCTGGTGAATCAATTTCAGCACCTTCTGTTGCTGTTTCTCCCGCAAGGTTGACTATAAACGAAACTGGATCAGCCACGTTTAAGTGTTCAGTTATTGGTAATCCTAAACCTGCAGTAGTTTGGAGTAAATTGAACAGTCAAACAAATATTAGCCAGTCATTGGTTTCAGGAGACACTTTGCGTTTACAGAACTCGAAAGGAAGTGATGCGGGTGTGTATAAATGTTCAGCGATAAACATTTTGGGGCAGGCGCACACAGTTAGTCACCTTATAGTGAATGGTGAGTTGTTATTTTTTTATGCATTTTTTATCGACTATTATCTTATTGCAAGGATTTACTTTGCGTACCATACAAGATGAACGATGAAGAAAGCTATTACGTAGCAACCCTACAAAAAGGACTTGCAGAAATTATTTTTCATTCAACTAACGAAAAAAAGCTCAGAATTAAATTTTGTTTTGCAGACCCTCTAAATATAAGTATCGTAGGTCAATACTTTTTTTTTTTTGCAAATCAAGTGTATCATGACAGTATAATTTCTCGCTTGTTGCGCTACCTTAGGAGGTGCTTGCTCCTTTTTTCTAACTTGCTCTGAGGTCGAAATTAACCCAACCTTAGAAAGTTCGTCTGCAAGTTCGTTTGCTCATTAAAATCTTAAAAGCTCACAGTTTATTAATGTTGTTGATGAGTTCGAAATCTTAAATCATATTGAAAGAAGCCTTTTAAAAATATTTGCCCTTAGTAAGACGTGGTTAAGTTCCTCTATCCCAAGTGATTTGTTTTACATTCCTGGTTCAGCTTTACCAAAATTTGGTTTCGGACTTGTCTTTAGGGCCTGTTTACATGGAGGTGGGGGACCCCAACCTATCATAAACGTGACCAAATTAAAATGAGAGATTATGTGGACAGGCGGGTTAGGCCCCACCGTAAGCGGGTTTCCTCACCTACCTAGGTCAGCCACCTCCATGTAAACAGGCCCTTAGGGTGATTCTTACAGCACACCCACTTAGGCTTAATTTGCTGAGAATTATTGAGTACCAAGTTGACAGGACTACTTTAAGAAAACTTTACAAATATTTGATGCGAAAACGCTCCGTTTCTTTGTCAACTTGCTGTTTGGTAGTACGTTCTGCAACACGGTTTTTATCTTAGCGAATGCAGAAATGACTGACCATTGCTCCAGCAGCTGCAATTATTAGTCACGCAAAACCACTTAACGCCATTTACGTGGAGGTTATAGTTTTATCCTGTCGCGCATTTATAATGTATATTTTCAGTATTTAGTAACGTCATATTCAAACCCATGGTCCAATCGGGCTCTGCATTGCACGGCGAAGTTTTTTTATCCTTCCTAATTTATGTTTTATTACTTTTTGCAAGTTTGAAATAAACTGTTTCCTTTCTATAAGGGAAGAATATTTGTCCAAAAACCAATTTAACCTTTTTTAGGGGTAGTAAAACACATCTCTTTTCCGTTTACAGTTCTCGATGAGAGACGTGCGTATTATACTCGCCGGCAAAGATACATTGAAACAGTAATGCGTGACACAAGTAATGCGGGTATGCAGTCATGCACGAAGTCTTGTTATTCAATTGAATATTCAATCCGTGTTCAATAACCAAAGGCCGTTGATTTGCAATACAAAAAAATTAAACAGATTAAATTGCCACTGAAGTTTAAAGCTTATTATTTTGGATCTGCTCTAACCGGAGCTGGGAAAAGTCTGACTTTCAAGATGGCCGTTCGCACTTATTCCCTCTGGGCAGGCCTGTGTCCAGAAAAGCTGGTAAAACTAAATAAAACTAAAACTAATTATTTACTAGGAAAGTTTTAGTTTTAGTTTTTTTTTCAGTTTTACCAGCTTTTCTGGACACAGGCCTGCCCAGAGGGAATGGGCACGAACGGCCAGCTTTAAAATGAGTAAAGATAACTTGGAGACGACTGGGGACGAGTCAGCGCAGTGAGCACTGAGGATTTTTGACTCTTCTTAAGAATTGGCGATCTGAAAGCAAAGTTGGTGCCGGTTAATGCCTAGGTACGTTCGACGATGTTTTGAACTGATAGCTCTTGAAAAGGCAAAAACTTCGACTGACTAAAAGATGGGAAATCGAGGTTGCAGTTTTACTTAACTTGAACATAAAGCATTCACATTACAACCGTTACGTGATAATCCTAGATCTGTGTACTTTTTTGCCTTACGTTAAACATAAAATTCCGAAAAGGGAACAACTTACTAGAAAGCGAATGCTGCGTCTTCACAGGGTTTGGTTCCATTGATGGCTGCAGCTTTGACGCTGCGTTGTTTTCAAGAGCGTTAATCCTTTTCTTCTGCTCATGTAACTCCAGTTCAACTCTCAAAAACCCGGCACAGTAAAACACAAAAGAGCCAACACAAACAATGCTTACAAAGGCGGGCATACGCTGCTTTTGAGCAGCCATGTTCGTCTACTTCGATGGTAAAGACGGCTGTCTTTCGCTGCGTCACAATAGGTCGTTATCTTGTTATATACTGCCGAGGCCACGTATTTGGGTAATTTGCCAAGAGATGTTTTTATTTATAATCATTTTTGTCATTATGCAAGTCAAAGATCAAGATCTAAGCTCCTCTCGCATCATGTTCATTCGCGTCGCAGACGGAAAATTGTTTCCCTGAGGTAGGGGACACTTTATTCCCCAGCCAATACGACAACGACACAGTCACGGGGGCACGGCGCGATAGAACTTTATTTCCAAAAATCAACAAGAAATAAAGGTAAAGATAGAAACAGTAAGCAAAATTCTTCTCCCTGCCACCTCACTAGAAGTCCTGATAGAGACGGGTGCAAGGGGGGGAGGAGAGGTCGGGGGGTAAAATATCTACATGAATACCACAAACTGTACTTCTATCTGAACTTAACTGCAGAAAAAACAGAACTAAATGAAACCTAATGCTATGACAAATAAATGAAATTACAAACAAGACTTTGATCTATAAGGGAAGAATATTTGTCCAAAAACCAATTTAACCTTTTTTAGGGGTAGTAAAACACATCTCTTTTCCGTTTACAGTTCGCCCTTCCGTATCTCTCGATCCAGGACCTCATTATTTCGTTGAAGGAAGTAACGCTATTCTTCCTGTATGTCACGTGACTGGACATCCCACACCAGTGGTCACGTGGAGCAGATCATTTGGTCAGCTACCGCAGGGGAGGGTACAGAGTAACAACAGTGTCATCAAAGTTGTTAATGTCCGTAAAGTTGATTCTGATAATTACCTCTGCACGGCGACTAATCCGTTGGGAAGTGTCGTAAGAAGAACTCACTTAGTTGTGGTCTCCCTCCCTCGGTTCACTGTTAAACCTCGCGAGAAAGTTGTCGCTTTTCCTGGTCTTGTTATGACGTTGAACTGCAGCGCTACTGGTGATCCTCAGCCCGTCATAAGTTGGAAAAAACAAGGATCCCAGCTGCCGGGTGCAAGAAGCCAGCAAATCAATGGCGCGTTAGTGATAAGAGGTATTCGAAACGAGGATGCAGGAAATTACATTTGTGTTGCAACAAGTGCAGGAGTATTCAGTGTAGAAACTGGGACCTACATTGACGTTCAGTCTCCTTTTAAAGGTTGTTATGATGATAAGATTTTTTATTTTACTCTGCCCACTATACTCTTTTTCGGTTGACGACTCGATATTTTTACTATTACGGATAGCTCAACTTAGGTAGCTTTCAGGAATAAACCTTTTGTTTTTCTTAGCCAATATAAAGCAAGCTCCCTTATTCGTTGTGATAAGCGATAGACCAATACATTGCCTCTTAGTTTAAGTTTTTTTTTGTAGTTTTAAATTGAACCACCTGTATGTTTTGAAGTAAATGACTTAAAGTAAATAAATTAATAAATGGTTGTAGGTGTCAAAAGCAACCTCATCTTGTATTTCTAGACCTTCACTTATGTAAGCAAAAACTGACATTCAGTCCTGAAAAAGCCCTTACGCTTGACTTTACAAAAGAGATTTCAAAGAAAACCCTAGCAAACTTTTCTAGCTTCTGAAAAAGAAGAGGAAAAAACTATACAGGAGCTGCTATGGAAGAGGAATTGTTCGGAGTATTTGCGTCGGCAACGCAAAATAAAATTTTGTGTGTTTCCACATCAGTCTCACATTTTCCTTTCTTAGCAGTGTGACATATAAATAATAATAATAATAATAATAATAACAATAATAATAATAATAATAATAATAATCTTTATTTCTTAAGATAAAATCACGTATCCTAAGTTACAATATAAACTCAAAAAACTATTTACATATCATATCTAAAAATTATTCTGTTACTAAAAACGTTCTTAAACCTGTCAGTGTAGATATAAATCTAAATGTCATCTAAATGTGACGAATGGTTATTTTAATGGCCCCAAGTTTTTGGACTGAAAATAAAGGCGAAGACAACCTGTTGCTGTTCAATCTGAAAACATTGCCAGTCAATTACTAGTTAAAAGAATAAAGGAGCGAACCCTAAAAACACAAAATGGATCTACGCTAACTTTTGCTTTGTTTTGTCGTTATTTTTGTTGTTATTTTAGTTTGTTTATTCTTCTGTCATGTCTAAAACAAAAAGCTGCTCAAAAACGCTTGCTACAAAGGCTACAGCCTTTACTCGCTGGGATGAGACAACGTAGATATAAATTTGCTTTACGGCAGTTGCTTACAACGCATCAGTGTCCAAACAAGCTCTTTCTATTTTGTTTTATCAGATTGCTCTGATCTGCTGAAGTCAGGCCGTACTCAGAGTGGAGTGTACTCTGTGAACCGGCGTTACGAAGACCATGAAAACTGGATTGAACGACAGAGTAAACAAGGCTCATATAATTGTTTAATTTAACGATTTTATTCGCAGTTGCTTAGATACAATTAGCCTGCGAATGGTAAGAAGCGATGAGAGACGTGCGTATTATACTCGCCGGCAAAGATACATTGAAACAGTAATGCGTGACACAAGTAATGCGGGTATGCAGTCATGCACGAAGTCTTGTTATTCAATTGAATATTCAATCCGTGTTCAATAACCAAAGGCCGTTGATTTGCAATACAAAAAAATTAAACAGATTAAATTGCCACTGAAGTTTAAAGCTTATTATTTTGGATCTGCTCTAACCGGAGCTGGGAAAAGTCTGACTTTCAAGATGGCCGTTCGCACTTATTCCCTCTGGGCAGGCCTGTGTCCAGAAAAGCTGGTAAAACTAAATAAAACTAAAACTAATTATTTACTAGGAAAGTTTTAGTTTTAGTTTTTTTTTCAGTTTTACCAGCTTTTCTGGACACAGGCCTGCCCAGAGGGAATGGGCACGAACGGCCAGCTTTAAAATGAGTAAAGATAACTTGGAGACGACTGGGGACGAGTCAGCGCAGTGAGCACTGAGGATTTTTGACTCTTCTTAAGAATTGGCGATCTGAAAGCAAAGTTGGTGCCGGTTAATGCCTAGGTACGTTCGACGATGTTTTGAACTGATAGCTCTTGAAAAGGCAAAAACTTCGACTGACTAAAAGATGGGAAATCGAGGTTGCAGTTTTACTTAACTTGAACATAAAGCATTCACATTACAACCGTTACGTGATAATCCTAGATCTGTGTACTTTTTTGCCTTACGTTAAACATAAAATTCCGAAAAGGGAACAACTTACTAGAAAGCGAATGCTGCGTCTTCACAGGGTTTGGTTCCATTGATGGCTGCAGCTTTGACGCTGCGTTGTTTTCAAGAGCGTTAATCCTTTTCTTCTGCTCATGTAACTCCAGTTCAACTCTCAAAAACCCGGCACAGTAAAACACAAAAGAGCCAACACAAACAATGCTTACAAAGGCGGGCATACGCTGCTTTTGAGCAGCCATGTTCGTCTACTTCGATGGTAAAGACGGCTGTCTTTCGCTGCGTCACAATAGGTCGTTATCTTGTTATATACTGCCGAGGCCACGTATTTGGGTAATTTGCCAAGAGATGTTTTTATTTATAATCATTTTTGTCATTATGCAAGTCAAAGATCAAGATCTAAGCTCCTCTCGCATCATGTTCATTCGCGTCGCAGACGGAAAATTGTTTCCCTGAGGTAGGGGACACTTTATTCCCCAGCCAATACGACAACGACACAGTCACGGGGGCACGGCGCGATAGAACTTTATTTCCAAAAATCAACAAGAAATAAAGGTAAAGATAGAAACAGTAAGCAAAATTCTTCTCCCTGCCACCTCACTAGAAGTCCTGATAGAGACGGGTGCAAGGGGGGGAGGAGAGGTCGGGGGGTAAAATATCTACATGAATACCACAAACTGTACTTCTATCTGAACTTAACTGCAGAAAAAACAGAACTAAATGAAACCTAATGCTATGACAAATAAATGAAATTACAAACAAGACTTTGATAACCAGCTGGCAATGTTCTACCCTGGGTTCCGGAGGTTATCTTTTTCTTATCTACAGCTCCCACTGCAAGTACGGTTTAATATTTTATCCCAGGTATTTTGAGAATGGATCTCTGGAGCCAGGGTAGCACTCTCGGGAAATGAGCAGCCCATTGCACTCCTCTCCCCCTAACAGTCTCTACTCGGAGAGGAACGAGAGAGAGGAAATTTGTTATAAGAAAAGCGTTTTGGAGCCTGTTACAGGCGTTCAAAAGGTTGACCGCAGCGGACAAATAAAGCGAGCGAAAAAACAGGGTTGAAAAAAGGGATTTTTTGCTCCCCTTTCTACTTCGCCCCTCTCCTCATCTGAACGTCTGGAACTTTGCTATTTATTTCATTCCAGACTAGTTCACACTAGACACGTCTTATATTTTCAGTAATTACAGTGGAACGTCGAAATAACGAAGGAAAGGGGGACTGGTAAAATCTGTTCGTTGTAACTGACGAGGTTTCGTTACATTGAGGTTCTTTCAATAAATTTTACTATACTGGGGCAAAAGAAAATCCTTTGTTACACCCAAGACTTTGTTATATAGAGGTTCCACTGTATCCGTGCTTAAAAGTCAAAGATCAAATTCATTTCGGCTGGCATGTGGGCAATGGGCACTAGGATTAAGAACATAAAAAATTTCTAGCTCACGCTTTGTGCTTGAAAAAAGTGTTGAGCTCGACTTGTGGGCAAGTCGACCACGCAGCAACTTCCGAAATTAGTCACCCTCGGAAGTTAGAATATTGATGGCAATATTTAGGACAAGATAACACAGCACACATCTGTAAACTTAGTGAGCAGAATTTGTGCGGCTGTTACTACGTAAACAATGAAATACTTGATCTGGTGCAAGGACTCATTGAACCATAGTTTTATCAGTTCAGCAAAAAACTTTGAGCATCCTCGCAGCCCCTTAATTGTCTTGCGCATGGAAGGTAATCCGGTAAAATATTCGGGATGTCCCGTTCAACCCAACCCCTCCCCGCCCCCCACCCTCTTCTTCGCCCGATCCCATCTTCGAAGAAGTTCTATGATCTCTTGTAGCAGTGTTACCTTAAGCTGAGTATCAGGCGTTTCTAAGGGGAAGGAGGAAGAGAGAAGAGAAAAAGGGAGAGGGTAAAAATACCTTCTCCCTTGGCCCCTTCACAGAAGGCCTGATACTCAGGATAATGTTACCGGTTAAGTTTATCAGACCCTCCGTAGGAGATGATGCTTTGCCTGCGAAGAACAAAGTCCATTATATTTTATTTCGCGTGTCGCTTTCCAGCGTAATTTAATTCGGTGAACGTTGTTTGCTTGAGCAGACAGGAAGTACGCGTGATAAGATTCAAGAACACGCACTCCATTTACTTTATGATCAGAACTGAGAGCAGAATGAAGGTTTATCTCGGAGTGGTGAAATTAATTAAATAACACTCTAAGTTGATATTGACCCTCAAAAATCTTCGAATGTTGAAAGACTAGCCGTAAAATTAATTTGATGCCTACCATGCAGTGTTCGTATAGGTAACACCACTCGCAAGTTTAATCTTTTTTTAAGCCCAAGGTTTTACTGTCAGGTTAGCAGTGGCACATTATGGGGGGATACCCAATACCGCAATACCATAAGAAAAATTGGCAAATACCGCAAAACCTAGCCTGCGAAAACTGCCGTTTCCCCTCGCTCCTAGACGCTAAGGACGTTTCCGCGCGAAATGTCCCCAGCGTCGAAGAGTAAGGAGAAATGGCTGTTTTCGCAGGCTACGCAATACCGCACGGAAAACCGACGATTGAAATACCGATACCGCATTTACGATCGGTCGCGCTCACTTTAAGTTATATCAAGAGAGAACAAAGGGGACAGAGAAGGCATCCCCCATACACACCCTATTCCAATAGCCCTTCCTCTCTTGTATAGAGCTAACAGTATAGCAGGGAAGTCCTTAACACACTGAATATTCTCTCAGGATCATTTACAATTTACAGTTTGAAGAGAGCAATTTCTGGTTTGATATTTATTCTTTTGTTAGTGTTTTATTTTTAAGACCACAGAGCCCAAGGGGGATTAGACAACAGCCAATCACATAGCGCGAATGTGTTCCGCGTGGATGACCCACTCTAAGAGCCACGCGTCCTTCACGAATTGATGCAGAACAAAATGGTGGAAGACGCGGAGAGCGATATTGC